AATTCTGTCACCCAGTTCTCCAGCATTCAACATTTCTAGCGTAGAGGAAAAAATAGCAGAAATATAACTATTTCAACAGCAAAAGCAGATTTTCAGAAAAATACAAACAATTCATAATTCTTGCAACCTTAAAACTAAGTTAAATTAGGGATCCAAAGCTGGTTGATTTATTAGAGCTTTTTGCCAGCTTTTATTGACATGAGAAAAAAAAAAAAAAAAAAAACCACACAGAAATATTCAGAGCATGTTTATCTGATATCTTCCATTTTACCAAGTCCCATAGATATCCACTCCCCACGTCAAAAGTTAAAATCATGTAAATTTTGTTCTCCTTAAAACAACAAAAAAAACAAACCCCAAAACCTTATAAACCAGTGTATCAAGATTTAATATGCACATTGCTATATTACACTCCTATCATATCTAAAATAGTAATGCTAAAAATGTCTATTTATAGAGAAACTTTATTCAGAGACAGAATTATTACTATTTGTATATGCTTTTAAGCAGAATGGAAAGAACTACAAGCCACAGATTTCTGTCTGTCACAAATACAACCTTAAGCCAATGCATCCAAGCATAGCATGCCTTTGGATTATGTGTCACTATAACCCAAACAACTCTGTGGTAGCAATACACTATTGTAATGCCATCAAACATTACATTTATTTTAAGAAGACAAAAAACCTAATACACACACAGTAAAAAGATTTTTATCTCACCTATAATATGCATTCAGCATAAAATATGTTAGAATTGGTATATAGAACTCAAAGACAGTTGACACCTCCCAGATTAATTTAAATGCAGGTTCTCAGGATAACTCATATTCCAGTTTGCTCTTCCTCCCAACACAGTAATTTAAACAACAATGCATTAAGCACTGATATTCCTGAAAAGGCTTATAAAATAATTTAGGCAACTGAAGTAGAGTCATTCTCTCACAAAAAAAAAAAAAGAAGAAAACAAACCTCTGAACTTGAAGTCAAACCACACAGTACTTAAGAGGAACGTACGAAGTTAATACTTGGTATAACCTTTAGACTGGACAACCAAGTTCCTATAAGAAGTAGGGTAATAGTTCTGTCCAAAAATCCTTCAATCTGATATAAATATTAATGTTACCTTTTTTAGGCTCATGTTTTAATTTCTTTGCACTACCTGTAAATGTTAAGAAGGCAATCGGTTAGTTATTTCTCTATCAGAAGGACTCTTCTACTGAAGGTCCAATTTTCAGATATTTTATAGAATGGAAATTCATAAAGAATGCAGAATGCAACTGTGAATATTCAAACCCAACGATATGAAAAATAAGGAATCTTTTTTTACATTTATACAGCTACTGTAAAGAGTCTGCCTAAACCCAGGAAACTATGGCAAAAAAACCCCTAATTTTTAACCACCTGTTTTAATTACGAACAGCCCTTTGAGATTCCAAAAGAACACACTTTTCTTGAATTAACACACTTTGAATACTATCTATAGCCAGTTAAATTGTGAGAGGACTGGAGAAAAACCTCAAAAATTTTACCAGAAAGGCGCTGTAAGTGACAGAATGATAGACACGTAGGTTTATTGTGATGGGAGAGGCAGGGGGACCTTTGATGCAATAGCCCGAGCCACTAAGCCCAGCAGGACAGGCATGACTTTGTCCCAGTCATTTAGACAGAACTCACCCCAGAAAAACTTTCACATCCAATGCCCAGGTCTGGCAAGGCTTCCTAGTGCTAGCTCCATCTGTTTGCAGCAGAGGGCTTTGCTAGCTGGTACTCTGTTAGTTTTAAAGAATTAGAACCATATTAAGTGATCAGTTTCAAGACAGTAGTCCTATAAAAGGACAATACTGTTTAAACAAAGATTCACACCATACATTGAGTGGCACTGAAACTGCTTCTTACTGAACAGCAACGAACCACATCAACATCCTGTTAAGTGCTAGAAGCAGACAGGCAGGAACAGAATACGGCGATATAACCACATTAGATCTTTTTTACATGGAAAAACTCAGGAAGAAGAAATTGAATAAAAAGACATCTAAGTGATCTTTAAATGCTGTGAGAGACTGCAACTGCAATTTACTTTTAACAGGAAAAAATTACTGCCAACATTTCCTGCAAAACATTGAGCCTCTTCTTATGCATACAGTTAGGACGAATATGCAGAACAGGCTAAGTACTAACTGGTTTTTAATTCACAGAAGTTGACATCTTTCTTGCTCTAGTGGGAATACGGCACCCAAAGAGACTGAACGTTAGGACACTAAACCAGAGGAGTCTATGAGGCTTACAGAAAGTCATTGAATTGGATCAGCGTAACATCAGTCTTTGTTAAACAGGAGCGAGTGTAGTATGTGAATATCTTTCACATGTGACTTAACCATGAGAAGCTAAACTAAGCTAGACATAATTCAGGCAAAATGTATATACTAACTTCCTCGTGCAGGCCAGCTTTCCATTACAGTTCTGACTTCGCCTCCTAGCATCTCAACTGTGAGCAGAAAAGACTCATGTATGTTCTGAAGTCAAATATATCTTCCAGTCAAACCCAGCCAGATTTAATATTTCCAGTATTCCTAACCATAACATAAATACAAGAAGTGATTTAACATTTATTTTTAAATTTACACTCTTAAACCTCTCTTCATACAGTAAAACTTCAAAAAAAAACCCTTTACAGTTTCTTTAGTGAACATCCTTAGCCTAATGTTATTTCAGTTTGCCAAACTTATGTCTTGTTTCATTAATACCACCAGAGGTGCTCCTGTGGAGTTTGCTTCAAAATGAACCATAATTCTGATTTTCTAATAGAAAAAACTCTTCACTTCAAAAGATATCTTCACTTTTCTAATGACATCTGGCAGAACTCTGAATATGTCATTCTATTCTAACCACGGGTAAGGATTAAATTTACTCTGAGTAAACACAGTACAACATAGGATATTACACACCACATCACACAGAACAACCTACAATACAGATGCAATGAGTACTGCCATATTAGACTAAAGAAAAAGTGCTTTACTTCATCGTTTAGCTGAGTTGTATGTATTTAGTTTTTAATCTCTATTCATAAGTAGATTTCGCTGGACTACTAATCATTGTCCCTCGATATCCTCCAATTCCCTTGGGAAAAGAATGCAAGAAAAGCTGTATAACCTAGGCAGAGGAGAAGGAGCTTGACCTATTACTACACAGTGAATGACACTAGGAGTCCATTATCTGTTCAAGAGTGAGCCTTAAATATTTCTCCTCCCTCTATCTATTAATCTTCTTCTCTCACTCTTGGTGAGTCTATAATAAACTGTTTTTGTGTGTGCCCAGTGAATAGCGTCTTTAGGTCCAAGCAAATAGTAATTTAAGTTAAATGAGACAAAGAAGCAATTTCTTCGCTCAATTATTTTAATCCAGTGAATATATCCAAAGTAGCTACTTAACACTAATTTATGAGCGTCTAGATTTAAACATTCATATTTTTCCAGAAAAATACTGTATTGCCTCTCACTGTTATAATTAATGTTAAAAGAAATCAACCACCAATCCCAACATTTTTTTGGTTTTGACTATACTAGTGAAAGCTTAGAGCTCCTACATAGTCAGAAGATGAAGCTAAATCACAAAACATACAGGGCTCCTGAAAAACAAACTACGGCCAAATCTGATCTATCAATGGGGGGTTTAGTCAGTTTACATATGAATGGTGTCCAGATGTGGACACCTAGGGCTTTCCTCCACACAGAATTAACTGAGATCAAAAGGTTTGATTATTTACACAATACCATACCAAAGACTGTGTTATTTCCATGGACAGATTAGATCTGGAAGCAGTTCAGCCATTTCCACTCAGTTCATAACAGTAACTATTGCCAGACTTAACCTTCCTGTAACTCTAAAGCAGGGTGTGAGCTTCATTAGCCCAGCACTATCTACACCTGGGATGTGACACAGCCCCAGCTGAACAAAATCAAGTTCATCAGTGTAAAATCCATTTTCAGTACTACCACATTACAAAATGTCCTCCCCCATTCAGTGTTCTCAATAAAAAGTGTCCCTTCCAGCAATGAGCACAAGAGATACCCTATTTCTGATTTTTTTCTTTCAGAGGGGAGTATTTTACAAAAGGGCGTGTCTCTGGCTATTTCCTTTCTCTCAGCCGTTCCCCCAAAGAGCAAAAAGGCAGATATTGCCACCAATCCAACAAACTCCAGGCCACCAGTGATGAGGGTATCTCAACAAACCAGTATGAGTGAGGAGGCACAGGGGTGCACTGGCTGTGTGGGGGCCAAACCCAGCCCAGGGAACAGCTCAGCTGGAGTTACTGCCTTCATCTCAGCGAGCCACAAACTTCAAGTTCTAATGCAGTAACACTAAATGTTAATGTCTTGACTTGTCATAAAAGTTTAGCTGCACCTCAAGTTTCTTTTATTACTATTATGTTTAAATACTACAAGAAAGCCTTTATTATTAACGAGCGGGTACTCTTCATTTTCCAGCTAGGAAAAAACTCACACGCTTTAGGGCAAAACGTGCAGCATGTCCTTCCCTGACTGAATCGAGTAGTCCTGACAGACAAATCAACACTTGGGGAGGACTTCGGTCTGTCCTGTGTTTCAGCGAGGGTACCCAAGCCATCGACACCACAGCAGTAATGTGGGGAAAGGTGAGGAGATAATCAATCACCAGTCTGACTTTTTTCTGTCAAACACTAACAATATTACTACGAGCAAACAGCTTTGTGTCAGCAGCCCGGGCTCCAGGTACCCCCTGGGGAGCCACTGGCCGACGCCCCTCACCTGCAGCGCTTCGTGTCGCTCGGCTGCTCGGCGAGGTCCGGGCCGCCGCAGCTGAGGGAAGCCGCTTCCCGCTCTGGGGAGAGGGAGAGGAGCCGAGCCCTCGCAGTCCCGCCAGGGGGCGGCCGCCAATCGCCGCCGTTGCTGCTGCGTCTCGCGTCATGGCCGCTGCCTGCCAATCGGAGCAAGCAGCACGCTCCGCCCCACCCCCGCCAGCCGTGACGCGCATCCTCCGCGCCACCGCCGCGCATGCCGGGGCGGTGGCGGGACCATGGCGAGCGACTTCTACCTCCGCTACTACGTGGGGCACAAGGGCAAGTTCGGCCACGAATTCCTCGAGTTCGAGTTCCGGCCCGACGGTGAGGGGCGAGGGGCGGGGCGGGCCCGGCTCTCCCCGCTGCCGGGGGGATGCCGGGCCGGGGCCGTGCCCGCCTGGCGCGGGGTTAACGTTCGTTCTGTCCTCGCCAGGGAAGCTGCGCTACGCCAACAACAGCAACTACAAGAACGACGTGATGATCCGAAAGGAGGTGAGGGCGGGGGGGGGGCCGGCAGGGCGGGGGGGCGCGCCGGGGCCGGTTCTTCACGTCGGAATCTCGTTTGCAGGCTTACGTGCATAAGAGCGTGATGGAGGAGCTGAAGAGAATAATCGATGACAGCGAAATCACAAAAGAAGATGATGCGCTGTGGCCTCCTCCGGACAGAGTTGGCCGACAGGTTGGTGCACACTGTCTTTTCTAGTTGCTGCTTTAATTTCTATATGTTAACTCATTAGCAGCGTAACTGAACTTCTTTGTCAAGTCAATATTGTCTCTAGCCAAGAGAGAAACATACTATTCCAAAACTTGAGAGTGCCTAAACAGCAGTTCAGTTGTGAGAGTTAATACCGTTCACAGATCTGCTGCATCCAATACCTTTGTATTAAAAATGGAAAAGTCATCATCTCACTACTTAAGTATTTCTGTAACTAATGCCATAAAGAGTTGCTACAACCTTTTATTTTTCAGGAGCTTGAAATAGTGATTGGTGATGAGCACATCTCCTTTACCACATCAAAAATCGGTTCACTCATTGATGTAAATCAATCCAAGTACGTACTCTGCTTTTTTACATTGCTCTTGCTTTTATGTAACAGTCTATATTAGAACTTGCTGATTACTAGGTATTTGTATTTTAGATTGTTTCACAGTACAGATCAGTCCCAGAGGGTACAAATGCTCTGTGTTCCAGCATAATGTGCCAAAAGCTTTTAGGCTGTGTCATTATGTGCAGTATTTTCAACCTCACGGAGCAGCTAACCTTACCGTAGAAACCTGCTGGGCGTATTCAGAGCCTGAACTAAGGTGTCATTGGCCTGTCCACACCAGTGTCTCTGGGAAAACCAAGACTTCTATATTCCACCTAAGCTGAGAAGACTGGGTAGCATGTTTGTTAAATCCAAAGGGATGTTACTACTTGCTTTCATGATAAAAACGCACATTTTGTTAATACTTAAAATAGGCAAACTTGGAGTACACAGTTTTATCAATCAATGCAGAATGAAACAAGTATGTTAATGTCTAAGACAACCTCTGAAAAATCTCCCTATAAGCTTTGGGGGTTTTTTTTAATAGGTTAGTTCTATAAACTGCTCTTGTAGAACATCAATCTATTTTTTTTTTTCTTCCTTCTGTTGTGCACTGCAGAGATCCAGAAGGCTTGAGAGTGTTCTACTACCTGGTCCAGGACCTTAAGTGTCTAGTCTTCAGTCTTATTGGACTACACTTCAAGATTAAGCCAATTTAAATCAAACAAACTGAAGTTTGTATTGCAGGGGTGGGGGTGGGGAGGGGGGAGGGATGGATGGATGCTGTTTCAATTCCTCACTGTTTCTGGCCTGAAGCTTTTATGTATGTTAGAATTTTTTTTTTTTTTACAAACTGTCAGTGACTGTCTTAATAAAATGGTGAGATCTGTATTTTTAATTTATAAGTTCTAGTAAGAAACTGACTTCCTAACACCTCTTTTATCATGGTACGTTCAGGGTATGTTGCTTCACTGGTATCACACAAAGCTGTATTTCGCTTCTCTATCTATGCAGCAGTAGAAAATGGAATTAAGTCTGGTTCTGTGAAATGAAACTTTCGCCAGCTGTCAAGATAAACTTTTGTTACTATCCCAAGTTGGCTGTTCAGTTAGTCAGCTCAAATACTCAAAACAACTGAGGCCCTGACTCTGCATTTGATAACCAGTTATAGCAAAGACACACATCAACTTCGTAACAACCTGCTGCTGCAATGACCTGTTCACCTCCGCAGCAGAGGTAGACGACAGCCCACCTGGGAGCCAGCCAGGATCTTCACCAATATACCCATCTAACTTCAGAAAAACTTAAATGAAGAGCAGTGCAGGATATGTTTAGTTAGGTTTTAGACTAACAGATCAGCTGTGCAGAATTAAGAGACTTAGAGGGCCAAACATGCCTCAACTTTAAAATGGTGGGGTTTGTAAAGCACTGGGGGAGACCCCCAATGGGCTGAGGCTCCCCCCAGGCTCTGCCAAACTGCGTCCTTGCTTTCTCTAGCACTTCTTTCAGTTATTCCTAAATCAGTGGCCACTGCGATTAAAAAAAGATTGTGCTTAAGTGACTTTTAAAAAGGTGGTAACATCTAACCCCTATTCCTTGTGCCAGCAGCCCCTGCTTTCCCTCCTCTCACCACAGAGGCCGTGTGCTGCCCCACCACCCCTCCCTTCGCTCTCTCCCTCCGCACGCCTGCCCCGCTTCCCCACCACCACCCCCGCTCCGCTTCCATCCCCCGAACCGGCCGCCTCGGGGCCCGGCCCGCCGCGCCTCCCTCCCGGCGCCGCGCCGGCGGGCGCCATCTTGGCCGAGGGCAGCTGCGGCCTGACGGCGGCTTCAGCCCCGAGAGAGGCTTGGCTGAGGGCACAAACGCAACGGGGCGGAGGGGGAAAACCAGCACTAAATCCACGCAGGAGCGGCTTAAACCCGTAACTGCTCCCGCGAGAGGCGGGACGGGATTGAGGGGAACTGTCAGGGGAATCCTGACAGTGCGGCGGCTCCGCGGGCTCTGCGCTGCCGCGCTCCCTGTGAGGCCATGGGGGTAGGTAGGAGCCGCGGCCGGGCTGAGGGGCTGGGCTGGGCTGAGCCGAGCCGAGCCGAGCGCCTCTCTCGCTATCTCTTGCCTTGCAGAGGATCGGGCTGCAGCTGCGCGCCACGCTGGAGAACATCACCCGACTGCGGGCCGAGGGGGAGGATTTCCGCTGGTACCTCAAGGTGCGGCGGCGGGGGGGGCTGCGGGAGGCGGGAAGCGCCGGTCTCGGTGTTCAAAGCCTGCTGGAGTGTCCGGCGGGGCACCTGGCCAGGAAAACCCATGGTGGTGAACGTCACATCATGCAGCTTAAACAGCGATGCGGTTTTTTTTTCCCCCATGCAATGCAAGCAGGCTGCTACAGGAGCAACAAACATGATGGTGTAAGAATATAGATACGTATACATTAGTTTGCAGTAATGACAAGTAGTAAGTTCGAGTGTTGGTCACTAGCTCCATTGGTGAGGTGGTTGGTAATCCAGTATTCAGTGGCAGGTAACCCCGCTGCTTGGCGAGATGCACTATTACCGGTTTTTCTCTCGTGTCTGTGCATTGTAACACGCTTTCCATCCACTGCACCGAAGGACAGACCCTCTGTGGCGGGCACGCCTGCCAGGTCGAATCAGTTCAGGGGCCTGTCGGGATAGACAGCAACCGATGCCTGCCTGCGGCTCCTCTGCTGTGAAACAGTGGGGATTCTGACTGCAGGGCTCACATCAGCTCCTCCAGCTCTTTAATCCCTAATTACTGACACCTTTAAATTATCTGATTTATGTCTGTTTTTCAGCTGAAATGTGGGAACTGTGGTGAAGTTTCTGAAAAATGGCAGTATCTGCGATTGATGGTATGCTTCCCTGTTGTTACCTGCATCAGGACAAAACCGAGAAAACAAACCTGCCTCTTACACACAAGCAATATTAGCTTCAGGGCTGTGACAAGTTGCACTTTAGATGAGATAATATTTTAATAGCTATATGCATTCTAGAAATGCTGTCATATTCCATATTAAAAAATATATTTCGAGATTGTTAATTTAAATATGCCATTGGAATGATGAGTGTCGATGACAATGTATTTACATTTGCTTTGAAAAGATGCCTTTCTGTAAAAGCATTTGAAAAAATATCAGAATAAGGTTGTGCCTGTAGCATATTTCTCTGATGCTCATGGAATCTTTTTGGAGAAGTTTGGGTAATTCAAGATGAGTTAAGCCTACTAAATTAGCATTGGCTAAGTGAAAAAGGAGGATAAAAATTGTCAGGGATAAGAAAAGGTTGTTATTTTAGGAATAATCATCCCATTTTGTTGCATACCACTGAATGGTAAGAATGTATTTTGAGGAATTAATGGAACATGCCTGTATGGACAAGACATAACTATCCATTATTCACTATTTTAAGTCTAGAACAGAATTATTCTTTGATAATCACACTTCTCTGAAATATAGATATCTCCAAAAAAAATGCCTTCTCATTTCCGTATTTTTAAAATGTTAAAGACCATTGTTGTGAAAACTACTTTACCTTCACAGAGGTTTCCAGTGGCTCAGCTAGAGTGCAGTTAAAAATGATGTCCCTACTGTCATGGTTTTTAGGACAGTGCTCCCCTGAAAGGAGGCAGAGGAAGTGCCACTATGGTGCAGAAATGCAAGCTGTGCTCCAGGGAGAACTCCATTGGTATGTGCTTAGAAATTTAAGAGACATCATCCAGTTTACACTTTTTCTCCTAAGTTTTAGTCCCTGTTTTTGCTTGACACTGTTTGTGAAGAGCATTCACCAGGGATTTTTTTCCTTCTACACTGGTGCTTGAGTTTACAACAGGTACATACATGGATCATGCTCATGAAGGAGACAGCAAGGCCTCCTGGTGACGTCAGGTTTCTGCATGAACAAAACTCATATCTGTAATGTCACTTTACCAAAGCATAGTTTTGTTTTTTTTTTTTTTACATTGGTAGAGTAACAAAATGGTATCATGTAAACTTCTTGGGAGAAGTGAGAAAAACTGAATTTTACTTTTTGAGGGCCAATTGCAGGGACTGCTTGGTTACTTTCTTTCTTTTACTTTGCATAAGGAAATTTCTTTGAAAGAAGAAGCTGGTGCTTGGTTTCTGCTGAATAAAACTGAAGACATAATGCCACTCACTTTTACACTTCTGATTTTTTTTTTTAGATATTTTAAGTCAGACAATCAAGCCTTACAATGTAAGTTTGTTTTCTTTTTTATATGACAAGATAAATAAGCCTTAATAATATTTTGAGGTTCTATCATCACATTCCTCTTTCAAGAACACAAAAAGCTGGTATTCTCCCATGACAGAAAATTGTCTCCAGTAGACTCCTGCACAGAGTCTCAAGTGTAGAATAATCTGATACATCTGATAAGCAAAACACAAAATTCTATCACTCAAATTAGAGGCGATTTTTCAATGCCTGTATTGGTTTCCTTTTGAAGGCTTCCTTGTGACAGATTTAAAAATTCTTCATTACCACCTATTAAATGAGCCCTAGGATTTTGCCGTCACTTGGGACATCAGAGTTGATAGTACTGCCTTGAAAGTAATCCATTCCTAAACTAATGCTTGTCACTGTCTTTCTCTATTAGATGAAAACTAATGGTATTCTGACTCAATGATAGGCAGAAGACAGCGAGAAATTCAAAACAATAGTGGAGTTTGAATGCCGAGGTCTGGAACCAGTTGACTTTCAACCACAGGTGAGTTCTTATTTGTGATTTGTTTCTGTTTTGAAGAGCACTTCTTATAGATGTTAGAGTGATAAAATACACACAATTTGAAATGCCACTGCGCTTCCTGCACTGTCCTAGACCTCCCCAGCTTTCCATTCTCTCCACAGTTCTTTTACTTCGACTCCAAAAAAAAAAACCTGCAAGCAGCTAACACTAACAACTCTGATATTCTTTGTGCCAGTAAAATCTAAAATTAAACACACCTTGGAGTTGTATTCAAATTGCTTTACAGGTGTTTCAGCACTGCTCATCTGAATTAATCTGAAAGATCTTCATTGCTCAGGTTATTGCAAAAAGGAGTCTTTCATAAGGGGAAATTGCAAGAGTGCCTAATTAGATAGCCACATTCAGGAGAGCGCTGCTTTGCTTCTTGGTATGTTACAGAGAGTAAATAAAGTTCAGGTTATGAGCAGTCTTTAGTATATGGCCTCTAAACAAAAATCAAATTTTCTTTGAGATCTGACATCACCAAAGCCATAGAAAATTAATATTGGGATTTTGTCATCTGCAACTTCATCAAAGACTGAAGATCAGTGGCAGTTAAAGACTGTTACAAAGCATCTCAAGGTTCAGAGTTAAAGGATTTCTTCAGGGCCAAGCCAATCTTCAGTGATTCATTTGCTTGTGCATGGTCATGCTGTATGCAAGTTAACTCCCTACTATATTTAACCTATTATTCCAGTTGGATTAAGTGTAAATAGACTGACAAATATAAACCTGTCTTATCCTTCCCTCAGACTGTGACACTCTGCTCAGAAACAGACCAAAAAAGCTGGTTCTACAACGAATTTGGTATAAATAAAATCATCGTTATTTAAGTGAAGCTCATCTTTTGGAGGAACACAATGGTTATTAGCATATTCCTGTTTGAAAGCTTTACAGCTAGGTCTAGGAACTTGCACTTCAAGAAGAATCCATTAGAAGACTGCAAAACGTAGATGTTTATAGCTCTGCATCCTAGCTATCAATTTTATTTTTACCTGCAGAATACTTCAGAGCTGTAATGCAGTTTATAATTTAATATTCTCAAAGTCTGGTCTGTGCACTCTGTTGAAGAGTACACCTGAATCCCTAAGCAGATATTTTAGCAAATTTTCTGACGCTTAAACGAGTAAATAGACTTCTGCAGTTCCAAACAATTCTATAAACTGCTTTACATTTGACATGATCCAAGGCAGCCTGGCTTCTCCACAACTTTAGATCTGGCTTTTGATTAGCACCAAGCATAGCATATGGCCATAGCATTACTGTATTTTCTTTGTATTTTTTGACGGACATAATGCAACCATACCTGAAGTCAATTCAGGATGGCTTAATGCTTTCATGTCATATTTAAATTATAGTACTTTTATCCAAAAAATCATTTGAGTCTGAAAAAGGAAAAAGTGTCCTTTGATTCTCTAATAGAAACCCTCTTTTCCTACCTGGTAGCACCAAAAAATTCAAACTAGGTATTTGTGTGTTCCAATAATGGCCAAGGACAATTTTTTTCCCTCAATTACTTATCTTTCTTGTTTAATGTGCTTAAGTAAGTACATCTGCTGCAAATGTACTACACAGTTTTTTGTTTTACTTGAGGATAGTTCACCTCCTTTCCTGTTCTTGTTCCTGAACTGAATGCTTCAACTATAAAAAATGGAGGTTTCTTTATAAAATTTCTCTTAAACCTTCTTAAGCCTCTTTGCTTTGTGGCACAACCAATAGTTTCATTGGTAACAGAAGCGTGATAGTTTACTGTGCTGTAAAGTCAGTAGGTGTTTTTGCTTCTTTGGTGTGTGTGTTTATGCTTTAGCTGTTGGTCCTTCGCCCGTCAGCAGAGAGCACACAAGTCACTGCATGTCCCAGCTCCTTTCTGCAGAGATTAATGGAGTCTCTGCTCTGACGCCAAAGCTGTAAGAATGCAAGTCCCGCCGAGTGTCTGGGACAGAATCTTCTAATTCCAGTCACATGGCTTCTTGTTCTTTGGAAGGCTGGTGAATCTCTCCAGGTGGCAAAAGCACAGCTTCTTTTCTTTTTCTAGTGTTTGTTCTATACTGCAGCTCTGCATTTTTGTCCCATGATGATCTTTCTCTCCACCCCTACCAGTTCCCTTGAGATGGGCTTCTGACAATATCATAAAGGCCATATTCGCACTGTACCTTGCAGATAGCTCTCCTGTTGTTAGTTCTGCCACACTCCAGGGTTTATTTAACTCCCCAGTGCTTAACCTTTCATTCAAATCCCGAAATACTTTAAAATCACGTACCTTACTTCACACATTCTTACAGTTAGACATCTGACTGGCACTAGCAGGAATTTATTCATCAAAATTGCAAATATCAAAAGTGTAGAGCCCTTGCAGAAAACCAGGAAGAAGCTACCTTTGCTTTTTAGCCACTTCATAAAATTCTGAAACTAGAAATGGCAAAGCAAGAAACCTTCCTGTATGCTACGGAGGTGGCTGAGATTTTTTAATTTACTTTTAAAACTAATAAAACTTAATTTACAGCTTGATAACTGTGAACCCTAAAATGAGAGCGCTGTTCCTATAAAACATAGAACACCTTTTTCTTGTGCTAAATCCCACCGAAACGCTATTTCCTTCGTAGCACTATCCTTTCCTTCAACTCTTTAAGAACAGCAACACTAACAACAGTGAAGAACTCACCCATTTGAAATGATTGTTTGCGTATCCTAATCTGTTCATTCAGCCAGCTGATCCTCCTTTCACGTAAAGCTTGCTAGTCAATTCTGTACCTAAATCCAGTACAAGCTGTTCCTTCTCTAGAGTGTCTTGGATTCTGCCAATAATTAATCCAAAACTATTAACTATCTTCCACATTTTCTATTATCTTGCAGTCTAAATTTATTATGGAGCTATTTTATACATAATGCCTGTATGGATTCTGAACACAAAGCTATTAGTAGTTGGATGCTGCTACGTAAACTCAGAAACTCGGGTTTAACATTATCTAGAATACTTGGAAATGCCTTTCTGGCAGGAAAAATAGAGGAGCAGTGTTCCCTAATTTTACTCTGTGGTTCCTTAGAATAAATTTTCCCAATTCACAAATAGGGTCACAACCTTATACTGACCCTTAACCAGGAAAGAGCTTGACTATTCTTTCTGCCTAATTTAATAGAAATACAATAAAAGTTTGTGTTAAGTTACTTTCTTTAAACATGTTTCAATGATAATATTTATTATTATCTTGATACAACTTATTCTTAAAAACTTTCTTCAAATGTGTTTGCAGGCAGGGTTTGCTGCTGAAGGTGCAGAATCTGGCACACCTTTCAATGACATAAACTTGTTAGAAAAGGTATGTTGTCTCAGTTTCATTAGTAAATCTAATTATCTAGCTTGTTTTCCCTAAGTCACTAGTGCAAAATACACATCCTGCATATGCAAGAGACAAGTTTTGCTCTTTCATGTAGGCACAGAAAGGTCATAGCTGGAGAGAAAAAGTAAATAAACTATGAACAACCAGCATTACCAACTATTTCAGAAGTGCAGATTTGATAGCTTAGCAGCTGACAAAGGTAGAGATGCAACTTTTAAGTCACTCAGGAAGTCCAGAGAGCAAATACCTGGAATACTAAATGGCTGGGGTTATTCAGAGTGAACTGATTTTTCTAGGAAGATGCCTGCACTTTTTCCTGTGTGCAGATATATTAAAAAGTAATATAAAGACACTGTCCTTCAAAGCTCAGAGTAGTGACTCCAGCATTCCAAATCTTCCTTGGCTGTGAGCAAGAATCTCAAGGTCAAATTTGTTCCCTGGTATCCTGCTTGGCAGGGATCTGCTTGTCTGCTTACCCACCTGACTAGGGTATTGTAAATGACAGATAATCCTTTCATCTGCCATGATTGCTGTCTTGTCCACTACAGGCTGTGGACTACATATGAAAAAAAAAAAAAAAAATCATTCTTAAAATAAAAACACCGAGACTGAAGCTCATTTGATTTCAGGTCAGTGCTCTTGCTTCTCTCAAATATCAGAACTTACCTTAGTGACTGCACAGCGCTTTCCACAGAAATACAAGACCCGAATTTTTAGTAATGCTCGTTTTCAGTTTGAATTCCAGACTGTTTTAGACACTATTGCATTCTATCCTCTGTGACTAATACTGTGAAATCTTACGTCCTACAGGATTGGAATGACTATGATGAAAAAACAAAGGAATCTGTTGGAATCTATGAAGTTACTCATAAATTTGTAAAATGCTAAAGTTCATACCCGTAATAAATCTTGACATGCTTATTGATGAAGGAGCTGTAACCATCCAAGACAGTTTCCTTGGAGTTACTTTTCACATGGCTGTACTTCAAAAATGTAAACCAAAGGTGTACTTACCGTCCCCAGCATGGTGTAATAAAATATTTTCCACAGAGCACTTTGAGATGGCCTCAGTACAAACTGAAAATAGTATATACACTTGACTGAATTGTGCCATTTTCTTAATGTTGTCTTTTTGGGAAATATATATGGTTGTGGTGGACTGTAGCTTAACCACTGTATCAACAGTAACTACTTAGACAACTTACAGCCTTAAGGTTTTTAGTAGCCTATCACCAAGAAGTACCCACATTTGATTCCCTAACATAAGCAAATAAGGGCTTTTCACTCACCACTTGTATCATCAGGAAATGGCTGTGAGTAATAGTAAAGGAACTGTGTTAACTTGCAAGGGAAAAGCTACATCTTTGGAATCTTACTGCCAGTTCAAGTAAAGACACTATGGTTAGTTTACGGAGAACACTTACTAAGCTCCATTGCTACTGACATTTACACATACCTGTTACAACCTCCTGAAAATCAAGTTACCTTTCTGAGTATGTCATTAAGTAAACCTCACTTGTTTCTAGTTGAAGACACTTTCTACTTCTAGGCAAGTGTTCTCACAATCTTGCCAGCTCTTCTCATGTTTTTTTTAAAAAAAACAAAACAAAACAAAAAAAAATCTTTCTTAGTGAATCAGACTTTTGGTCTCATTATTGTTTCCTGTTATCCTCTCCAATGATCACTTTCCTTGTTTAAATGAGCAAAACCGATCACAGTAAGGTTTAAAATAATCCTTTTCAACTGAAAACTAGAACAGCACATACAGGCTGCAGAGCAAATGGCCCTGACTAGGTAAAGTTTATAAGCCTTTGGGCTTACATATTTAAAGCATGCCTCTCCCCCTCCTAGCACCTGCAGTTCATGTTGCAAGATACGGCATTGCTTCCACTTACTATGATAAAGACAAGACACTGGGAGAACCTGGAAGCTGAGATATCCAAAGGAAGAGTAAAGGCAAGTAGGTTTCTGAGCCTCTGAGCCTCATCTGTCACATCCAACCAACATGCTCAGACATTTATGCTCTAATATATTTGGTTGTCCTGGACACGGCGGGTTATGCTGAAAGACATGAGCTGCATTAGTGTTATGCAGAGCTGCAGAAGCAAGCTCAACTGTGCTATTCAGCTCCAGAGAAACACTAATCCTCTCAGAAGAAAAAGAGTGGAAGTCAAGAGGATTTAAAAGGCAGAGGAGTTCAAGTTATACATACTATGTGTAGATAGTATACATACTATATGTATATATAATGAATTTTGTGCAAAAAGGGGTGTCTCATGCAAAGGGCATCTGTGTTATAAATGCCAGCAGCTTTGAGCATCCTTGGCTTCTTTACTGACAAAGGCTCCTTCCCCTTTTGCTATCACCCACTTCGTAGCTGGCAGAGTCCCGGTTGTGAACAGCACACAAGGAACTTGCCTCCATCAGTTTCAACTCGCATTCACAGCATCACTAAGTTTTACTAATGCCAATGCTCAAGCTCTCCTGAAATCCTTCGGAGTTCTGATAAACCTTAGTCTTTAGAACTTCTGCAAAAAAACCCAGTGCATAAAAGACTAGCCACTAAGAGTCTGGCATTTGTTACAAATAACATGCAAACTTCTAGCTGACAGAACAAGGAAGAAACAGGAAAACGTTCTGCTGAGGTTACTTTTGCACAGTAAGAGGAAGCTTGGAAAGAGAGAACCCTGAAAGATAAAGTTCAATGATTTTTCTTTTTAAGGCACAAGAGCACAGGTTTATGTAGCAAAACAAAAGCAGATTATTGGACAGATCTCATGTATGAGAGAGCCAACATTGCAGAATGCTTTCAATAGTAATCTCAACCATTACAAGAAACATGAGCTATTGATAAAGGGACTACCCCTACTGTACAATTTTGATATGGCAATAAAAACATTGTATTTATTAATAGATAACTTTATTACAATGCAGACTTTTCCAGTCAATTTAACACAGTAGTTGATTGCATGTTACTTAAAGCCTCCCACTTCATTTTTTGTTTCTCAGAAAGTTGTTACAGTGGAAAGGCTTCAAGCAGTTGAGGCACAATCAGTTTTGATATTGATTCAAGTTTAAAGAGAAAAGTAAGTGTGATGAGTTAATAAGCAAGCTTACCGCAAGAATGCAAACATAACCACTCTTTCGTATTTAAAATGATTGCATATATTTTTTTAAAATCAAACAATTTAAGAGTGGTATCACAGTACTATAGTCTGTCTGAACACTCATGAAACAGATGTTCCAAGTTCATAAACTTAATAACAATGCTTTTTATTTTAAAAAATGTGTTTTAAGAACATGTGGATCTGTTGGAACAGATGGATCTGTTAGTTAATTTTGACATTGTGAATGTCTGCATTTCCTGAAACATGCATTTAAGATCTGCACTTGATTTATTTAAAATAGATACAGAATTCATAGTGAATCCAACAGTACTCATGTTCAATGAAGATAAATTAGCCAATTAAGCTGGGCACTCTCAGTCACGTTGAACGTTGATTAGTATGCCAATTAGATATAGTCTGCATTTTGTACTGCAACTGTAAAGTGTTTCAACGTTTTTATGTCTAACTACCAATTTTCTTGCCCTTTAAAACATTAAAGATATCTTCTAGTGACTTGCATATACACTGAAGGAATTCTTTACCATTCCTAGTCGGGTAAGACGAAACATTACAACCTATCCAATCATCATGTACCTGATATCCTACTCCAAAGCCATCAGACACCACTGGGCCAAACCCTCCTAACTGCACAGCTGGGCTAAGCAATGTGCTGGTAGAAATGATGTTGTGATTAAGCCGAGCATAGGCTTGGTCTTGATAAAAATCAGGCAGTGTGGTACCTTTGGATGAGGCTAAATAGCGCAAGCCAAAAAGATGTCGGTCAAATCCCTGACCTGTTAAAATAAAATAAAAGGTATTAGAGAGATGACTAATTTTTGTGAAGTAAATTCACTTACTTTGACATCATTTTGTTTTTCAGGCACAAAAGAGAAGGTCTATATAAATAGCGTTTATTTTTGGATTAGCAGGAATTATTTTTCAGAAGCCAGACATTCTGCACTTTTAATGCACACACCCTAGGGAATGAAGGTTTGCTGTTTTGCTGCTAGCCTCAACCAGGAATTGTGATAGTAAACAAAAGTGCAATGTTAACAGACAATTTTAATAATACATTGCATTCTTTGATTAACTATTTATCTGAACATAACCCAAGTTATTTAAAATGGAGAAAGGCTTTCCTAAAATTTATGAATCTAAAGAGGAATATCTTGCATCAACAAAAGGAGGCAAATTTTGGACTCTGGGGTAATGTTCAACAGTCAATTTTACTGAAAGAAAACAACACATTATGCCTCTGGGAAGGACAATTTAAAAGAAAGTATTTAGAAAAATAGGGGAGTAGCACAGCCAAAGAATCAGTTTGATTTGGAAGTTGTTAAAGCCTTTATCCCCTGCAGGGGTAAGATAGTAACTCCTCAGACATGAAGCCTAAGTTCTTGGTTGCCCTGGGGAGCATGACACGCACCAAGTATTTACCAAAACTTCAAATAGCCCAGCTGCTACAAAGACAAAAACTGAAGTATAAAAAATTCTCAACACGTTAACAGTGAAGTGGGAACCACAGAGGCATTCTCCTCCATTAAGAAACAAGTCTTAGAGAATGTATTTTAAACTGCAGCCTTCTGTTACTGTTTTTGTCAAGTTTCCATTAACATTTGACCTCCATCAAAATTAAATTCTTTAGTTGTGAAGGAAATATTTACAGCAACCTTAACAGACATTTTTAGTGCAAAAGCAAGAGTGTTTGATATATTCCTACTTACCCATAGCAGCTTCTTTTGTTAAACGGCCATGGTATTTTGAGCACTCCACTATCAAGTTCTGAAGCTCTTCTGTGCTATGTTTGGAGAGTTCTCTGACAAAAGCTTCCGAACATTTCTTTGTATGGATAGAGGCTGGACGTATAGTTTCTGTACGACCATGTCTGAAAGCTGCAGTACTACAGGACTCATATGTAGCAACAGTCTGATTGTACTGTCGGAAGAAAGCCATCTGGAAGGCAAGCTGAGCCACAGCATCTGGGCTTACCTTCTTCTGCTTTAGAAGGTTCTTGCCCCCTTCATGGAACTGAGTCAGATTAAGAGACAGTGCTTCTACACTGGCATCAAATTTCTGTTTGGCTTTGGTAATTCCTGCTTTTAAGGCATCGTTCAGCTTAAAGTCAAGTTTCTGCACTGCTCTAGAGGAGTCTATTGAAGCAGGCTGGGACTGGGGGCTGATGGCTGGTGCCTTGGTGCTATCTTTAAAGACCTCATTCTGGAACCTGAGCACAGCCACACCATCTCCCCAGGAATGTTCAAAATTAACTCCTGCAGTGCCATCCTTAGTTATGATAAGATTAAAGGATTTGTCATACCAGCGGTTGGCACCATCTCCATGCAACATAGTGTGGGACAAGTGCACGAAGTCTTTAATGGGAAAATCATCTAAACTTAAACAAAACACAGCAGAGTCTACTTTTTGAAGAGCTTCTTCATTGCCATTATCCAGTAAATTCTTTCTCAGCAATGCCCATGTATCTCGGTTTTCACTGGAGAGGTAGCCAAGAGGGAAGGCTGGAGCTGGACTGTTGTCACTAAGGATGTATTTCAAGTGTGCTTGTATTTCTGAAGGTTTCAGCATATTTCCGTCTCTATCAATAACATCAAATATATAAAAATTCCCATGTCTCAGTACTAGTAAATGTTTTGCCTTTTCATCTGTATAAAGCTCGTCTCTGTTGAGTTTAGGCAGCCGCGTAGAATTGAAAAGCCTGAAGTACTGAGACATATCTAAGGGGTATGCATTGACCATGTAGGCACCAAACCAAGAAAGTGAAGAAGGCACAAATCTGATAATTTTTTTAAATATCTGAGTGTCACTTTTTTCTGGATTGAGGTGAAAAACCTCTGGCTCAAGATAACCAGCCCTGAAAGTCTTCATAAAACGTATAGCAGAAACAGTCATGTTCGTAGCTCGTATGAGCTGATCATTATATTCAGAT